ATGATTTCTAATTAAATGCGAGATTTAATTAAATCGCATTATAGCGTTCATGGGAAAAAGATAAGCTCCAAAATAAAAATAATATTCTAAAGCGATTGAAAAACAAACGTTATCTGCATATCGTAATAAATAATATATTATATATATTGATCGTTCTATGTACATATATGTAAAACATAGTATTCAAATGCATATTCTACAAGCACACGGCTTTATAGTTCGATATTGCAGCGTTATAAAGAGTAACAAGTCACAATTTCAGTCTCTTGATGTCTTCCGGTCGGAAGTCTATTCTTAGGGAAGCAATACGGCGCACTTCCGACGGCGTTAATCGCCATGCTATCGCGTCCGCGCCACAGTAATCGGCTAATTCCTCTATCTTTTCTATACTTAGAATAGTAGCGATCTGTGTTAAGCGCGCAAATTTGTCCCTCACCGACCAAGATGTGGCGGCTGCTAAGTAACTGGCTAGCGATCTTATTTCCTTGTCCAGTATCAGACCTCCTGCCTACAACATACAGATTTATTCGGGTATATTATATTGCGCTAAATTAAATTTATGAGCATATGGATATTTGTAAGAAATTAGATAAAAACATTAAGAGATAAAACGGCAAATATAAGTGGTATAAATGATAAAATACTACACAATTAATTAATCATAAGTAGAAATATAAATCATTTAACAGTAGTACATTTCAACTCTTTTTGTAGCCAGTTTTTATTTATTATAATTACGTAATTCTATATTGCTGTACTTATATTTGTCGTTTTTCTTTTTATGAGTTATATATAACTTACTAATTAGATAAAACTATTTCCAATAGATTACTATTGCTAAAAGATTATAAAAGAATAATTAAAATCCAATATAGGTACCCGATTAAAGGTCGATTTCAAAACTACTTTTTCTAAACGAGCCGTAACTTCCGCAGTTAGAAGTCCAATAAGTGCATCGTAGTTAGAAGTTGTTAAACTATCCTTAAATCCTCGAAGTAGACCCTCTAGGTTTGTGATTAATGTCTGAACAAATGGCTCGTCCGTTTCGTATCTCAATAATTCATCCTGAATTCGTTATGTATTTAATCATTCGTTATATACATTTGGAGACACAAAGTTTACTTATTCTTGTAGGATATACCTCATTGATGTGATGATCAATGGATAGAAACGCATCGAGCCACGGAGTGACTCTAGGTTTTACAGCGCTGACGCGCAACTGTTCTAGACCGCAATCGATGATGCCTCGTAAAATCAATATAACTCCCTTTAGACTGGACAAACAACTGTCAATTTTGCCTCTATCCTTCTTTTGCATATTGGGAAACGTTGCATCTATCTCTGCACCAAGACTCTTGCATAATGTTTCCACATATTCCGTGCTCACATCGGTATTATTTAAGTACGCCTAAATAAATATGAATAATTATAAATATAAAATTACAGATAGACGTATAATAAACTGTTTAGTAATATATTAATATGAAAATAACATGTAAAATCGTAGAAAAAATTTTTACCAAGAACATAAGACGGGCGCATTCTGTATCTGACGTTTGTAAACGACCATGTTGTATACTCGTCTGGAGAGCACTGTACGCTTGCGCCAGATCCAGGTAGCCTGCTGGATAACCTTGACGCAATCTGTTCCTCAATCTATTCGCAAACTCGCCTTCCAAAATGCCACAAGCCATATTAACGACAGCGCAAACGCCGTCTACACTCCAACTCGACATAGCCCGTCTGTGTAGACATTACATTCATTATAATTTTCAATATACATATCGTATACATAAATCTGGCAATATATACCGTATGCATTTCTGTACAATGAAAAATACATCATCGACCATGCTAGAAGTTTGTTGATCTGGATCTAATGCATCCATTCCTAAAGCCTTATTCACACTTTCCTCGAGAAAATACCTCTCTAATGCAAGATAGGCACCAAGCAGCTCTTGCATGCCATGTGCCAATTCGGAGTTGTTTATTGTCATTTCAAATTCGTTAAGCAATTCTGTACGTTGCGCTTCATCTGTGGTACTGATCTCTATATCGTTCTGCAAAACAAACAACACATGAATCTACATGGCTAATTTCTTATGTAACATACTGACGACAGTCAAATACCTTAACTCTTCTTTTTAAGAAACGTATGTAAAGTTCTGCCCTTGAATGCATTATAGTAATTTCTCCTAAAAGAAGATCAAGCTCCTTAGGGTCAAGCCTTTCAGGACTCGGTTTTCGCAAGTACTCATTTATCATTTGTACATTCTTGGATATACATCTATGTTTCGTAAATACTATAACAATCTTCTTGACTTGCCTAGTTGTAAAAAGTATAAATTAATTTTTTTTAATATGTAGAGAAGGTCATCTACAATTTTATATACAGTTTATTGTATGTGCTATTCTTACCTATCACACTCCTTCTGTAAAATCGAAATTGTCATTAATAGTCGACCAGGGCCATAATAAGTCTCAATGATCGGTTGATGCACTTCTACAATACGTGCAATCCCTTCAAACAAGAGAGTCATGGTGTCAGCAAAAATAACAGCTGCTCTCTTGTCATTACTTTTAATTTCTAGTGCTGCTTGTAGATTCTTCTGTGCAGTCTCATGTAGCTAATATAAAAAAAAATGAAAAATCAAACAATGCCATCTTCCTAATAAAATTTTAACAAATATAATTTTACACAATATTATATACTTTGGTGCACAAGTAACTGCAAAACTTCTTTAATCCTTCTAAGTGCATCCCCAACAACGGAAATATCTTGAAAAATCTCTCGACGGATGCGAGATCCTCAGATTTCACAGCTTCGTCAAATTTATGTGTAACAACGGCCCTTAATTCCATTGCAGCTTGTTGCAAAGTGACCAGGGAACTGCTAATACTAGTATGATCTCCTGATACATCTTCGGCTGTTCTCTCCAGTAATTGTTGGTCCATTGCTAAATAACGATGAACATGTGCAGCACCTTGCTCGTAATCCTCGTTACGCAGCGCAGTCGCTACTCCTTCACTACATAATTGCAAATCTAATATATCATTTATTCTACTTTGACACTCGCACACTCTGCTCTGTAAAATAAAATTGTAGAATTTAAGCACTTATAAGAAACTGAAAATTGTATGACTTATCTAAAAATGTTTTCATTGCAGTGTGACATACTCTTGCTAAGTCCAACTGTCTCACTTTAGCGCTAACATTTTCAGCTAATTCGTTGGTACGAGCGATCATATCACAAAACTTCTCTCCTTCTGTTCGTATCAGTACAACATTTGGTAGTACCTTGCTAATATTTTGCAGTTTTGCTTCCACGTGACATCGTCGGGTAAGAATTGTATCCAGATTTTTCTTTATAGAAATCTAAAAAATTATAATTTTTTTTCTATGAAATATATAGTGGAATTTATGCAAATTTTTATATATAATGATGCTTCTTCACATGTAGTACAATAGATCTAGAGAAAATATCAAAAAATTACACAAAAATATTGCATTTAGTTCTAAAGAGATGTATCGTAGAGATTTAAGCAGCTCATAAATATTATATAATCAAATATTAATGTGATTGCAATTCGAACCTCGTCTTCAGACAATTTGTCCAATATTCTTTGCAGATTTTCTTCGTTTACCGGCAGATCCATATTATCAGTAAGTCAATTAATTGGTGACGACTTAATTATTTATTTTATAGTGCTGAGGCACTTGATATTTTCCATACGTTACGTATTATTACGCCCACGTTGTCACATTTATCACATTTGTAAACAATAACTGACAATAACTACTAGCAATGATAAGAACGAGTATCTATAAAAAATAGTACAAAATCTGATTTGTGTTTGGGTGCGTTCCGAATTACTCATGAAATAAAGCTGGCAACACAATGAAAAGCACAGGAACAAGAAATAAGGGTACGTATCCACTGAGGGCTTCACGTGTCACGTCGTCCATCGCATCACGACGCGACGCGAAAGAGAGAAAGAGAGGGGCATGAACTTCACTCTTTCTCTCTTCGTGTCGCGTCGTGTCGCGATGGACGATGCGACAAGTGACGCGCTCAGTGAATACGTACCATAACAAATTTCAACCTATCAGAGACCATATCTACTAGAATGGACGCTTTTTGATAGGTTGTAATCTCTTATTCGCTAAGGGCCTAAGGCTTCCTTGAATTTATCTTTAGATACTCAGTAACCAATGAAATAATTTGTAGAGTATCTGAAGATAAATTTAAGGAAGTCTTAAATAT